GTGAAAATGTCTCATCATAGTTTTCGCCCCTCTTCTGACTGTATCCCTTGGCTACATATCGTGCCTTGTATCTTTCGGACCCATCAACATTGGTTTTGATATCATACACCCATTTACCCCCCACTGCTTTCTCACTCTGAGGTAAGTTGGTCAGGATAAATGTATCATTTTCTTTTAGTGATTGCATTTCCTCATCCATTGCAATAACCCATTGTTTTGACTCAGATGAAGTTACAGCTTCCCTAAATGTTAAAGGGATATTGCACATTAATCTGTAACAATAGTCAATATTTGTCAGTAGCTGATCCTCACTTTCCTTACTGTTATGGAAATAATTGTCATAGACGCCAAGATGTGACATACAGGACAAACCTTGATGTCTGTTTACCTTCTTTAAGGACACAGGCTGCTTAGCCAATAATGTTATTGTTCCCATTCTGTGACCGGTCAATACTGGGATACAGATGGTCTGTGTTGTGGGTACACTGGGACACTTCCTTCTCTGTATTTGTGGACTCCAAGGTGAAATCTTCGAGGTCATAGGTGTCCGAGGCAAGTAGCTCAGTGTTCCCACACTGTTTAGGCTATCTTCTCAAATATGTTGTTTACTCTCTGCGAAACCAGTTAGATGGGCTGGCAAGAGAGAGGCTCTCCAGAATTGACGTGGCAACTCTACCGTGAAGTCAGAACCTCTGACTCTTGGACTTGTGATGTGAATCCTCCGGCCGTAACTCCAAATAAACCACCAGTGTTTGACATCAAAGCTACTGCTCCTACCGTGTCTCCTTCCTGAGTCGGTGACTCCCACTGCATAGCTACACAGAAGTTTCCTCTACACTTACCACATACACTGGCACATAAGTAAGCTGGCTTCTTCCTCACTCTTGAAGGATAACGCCTAAGCTCACTGTTGTCGTCTTCTGTCTCTGTTACCACAGGTATAGATACTGGACTAACGTTAGTATCACACTTGATTTTGCCAGATTTGTTCTGTACCTCAAAGTCATCATCAGAGACAGTTTCTGTTTGTGTTTCTCTTTCTGAATTGGTCTTGGTCACAAACTTCACAAGTCTAGATTTTTGCACTTTTCCACTGTGAGGGAAATAGACCATGAAGGCTGGACTATTTTTGTCATATCCAACAAAAATTCCCTCCTCACACCTTGAGTCCAGTTTCTTTTTGTCTTGCTTATAGGCATAGCACACTGACCCAAACTTGTGCATTCTGGACAGGTTAGGTCGTCTACCTGTCAGCATAAAGTAAGGTGTCTGTTTTGTGCGGTTGTTAAAGCATCTATTCCTTACTACGGCTGCTGTCTGTACTGCATAGGTCCACATACTTTTTGGCATCTCATTTTCTATAAGCATGCACCTGGCCATGTCAAAAAGTGTGCGCCAATTCCTCTCAGCAGTGCCATTTTGATGTGGGGAGTACGGTGCTGACTTTTCATGTCTAATCTTATTACTGCATAGCAATGCTTGGTAATGTTTCCCTGTGAACTCTGTGCCATTGTCTGACCTGATACATTTTACTTTCCCGTATGGGGCAGTATCGGCCAGAAATCTCTCTGTTGCTTGCACTGTGTCACTTTTGTTTTTAAGGAAATACACAAACACTGCACTGGAGTAATCATCTGTGAATGATAAAGCATACTTAAAGCCTTCTCTGGATTGCGGATCTACTGGTCCTGCTATATCTGTGTGCACCAGCTCTAGAGCTGCTCTGGCTCTTACATCAGGCTCCCTGTTCCTGGTTTGGGTAAACTTCCATCACAATGTGGAGGTTTGTTTACCTTACCCTTAACTGACATGCCTTTAACAACATTCTGTAACTTCTGAATATCATCATAATTACAGTGCCCTAGGATCTCATGCCATGTCTGTAAATCATAACACCAGTTGCATTGGTCATCACATTCATCATTTACTGTGTTCAAGAAATAAAGTCTGTTCAATTCATAAATGTGAAAATGTGTACCGTCTTTGTGTTGCAGGACGTCTTTGCCCTGCTCGAAGGTTACCGTTGCTCCTTTGGTAGTAGCTGCTTTCACAGAAAAAATGTCTTGGGGGTACGACGCCTTATTCAGGGTTGTTTTGTGTCTTTTCCCCATGCTATCCACCATAATAACAACAGCGTCCCCTCTTCCTTCTGCTACACCATTGCACCTGGTACCATCAGCTAATTCCACACAGTGGGATTCAGCCTGGAAGTCATCATCAAACCTCTTGAACTTTGTTACATCCGTGACGATATGTGAAGTCGCCCCTGTGTCCACCATCAGTCCTCTCTCGGTGATGCTGTGCCCTGGCTGGACCTTGTTGTCCACGTCGTTGACTCGGAAAGCATACTCCTCGCCAGTTGTTTCATCCGAAGCTTTCCGCGCGTCGTCCTCCCGTCGCTGCTTCCGCCTGCAGGCCACATCCCGATGCGTGTTGCTTTTACAATGACTGCACCACAGCTTACGTTGGCACGTTCCGGCCTTGTGTCCACTCAGGCCGCACCTGTAACAAACAATGTCCGCACACTTGGTTCCTTTATCCCATGCTCTTGGAACAGAGGGTCGTCTCGGTCTCAACTGCTCCCGCGCCCTCATGACGTTGTCCTCTGGTGGCGGTGTGCGCATTCGCTCAGTATCCTCATAGCTGCGGAGCTTAGTCTTAAATTCCGCAAAACTTATTGTCCGGTCAATTTGCGTGATGTGGATGGCGAATGGTTTAAATGATTCTGGCAGTCCCTTCAAAACCATTGCTACAAGAAGCCCATCACTTAATTTCTCCTCCGCGTTTCTCAAAGCGGTGATGGCGGTCTCTGCACGTATTATATACTCCGTCACACTTTCACTGCTTGACTTTAGGAGTGATGTCAGTTCAGTATATAGGCTGATAATACGTGGTTTACCTTTGCCAGCATAATAGTCTCTTAAAATCTTCAATGCCTGCCGACCATTATCCGCCGCCTCCCTCATTACAAGGGACAAACTTTTGTCATCAAGAAATTGGATAAGCTCTGCATAAGCCTCTTCATTTTTCCCTTCATCGTCCGCCTCTTCATCTTCCTCAATTATGTCCGTAGGACTCCTTAAAATAGTATTCTTCAGTCCCTGTAAGCGAAGATGGCCCAAGAATTTCGTCTCCCACAGTTCATAGTTCTTTTCATCCCCGTCAAACACTAGCCGAGACCAGCGGCTACTGGATCCTGCTCCCAACCTGCTCATGGCGTTAGCTTAGCTTGCTAATCCACCACACGTGCTTCGTTGCGACTTTCCATCAGTGGACAAACGCCGGAAATACTTATTTGGGTGTCTCTGGGCCCATAACCTGTTAGCAGAGTAAGCATAACTTCATTGCTGTTTAGCATCCAAATAAGCGGAGGAATAACGAAACATCAGAGACAGTGACATTTCATTCAACGGGCTCTCCCATTGGAGGCGTGGCTTTATTTATACCCATCATGACCTTTAACCTGTTACGCTATTGGCTTCCGGTCATGCACAACAAATAACACGAATTGGTAACACATTTACCTGAATGTTAACAGTACCCCTGCTGTAGATGTTGGTTTTTTCCAGTAATGTAGACACAAACTCTGTTACTAAATGAACAATTATGTCATTTATATTTTTGTATGCGCTATACTAAACTAAACATTTTAAGATCTTGAAGATTGTCTTTGTCTCCTTTTTCCCGCATTAAATGTGCTCCTCTCATTCAATTATTGGCCCCATCCCAGCCCCCCAAGTAACTTTAGAACCACCACTGGTTACAGCAGTTTAAAGAGAAGGAGTTTAAATGAATAGGATGGAGGTCGCAGAGTCACTGTGAAGTTAACATGATCTTATTTGGGAGGCGTATGGTGCAGGTTCAAACCCCACTGCAGCCAGCATGTCGTTGTGTCCCTGAGACACTTCACCACAAATTGCTCCTGTGGGGATTGCCCACAGTATTGAGTATGTAAGTCGCTTTGGATAAAAGCGTCTAACAAGTGACATGTAATGTAATGTAATGTTATTTCATTATATCACATGTTTAGTCTAAACATAGTTAGTGACAGTAGAGACAGCAGCACATGTGGAACAGAACAGAAAATGATCATGGTTACTCAGTAGCATTTACAGTCATTCCATATCCAAACAGTTAAATTACTTCTTCGGTTTTGTATTTCATCTAAGTGATCTACATGTTCCCATGCTTTAATACATGAACAAATAATGTATCAAATCATGCACAAAGGACAAACAAAAACCATTGCAGAAGACCTGAGAAAAAGCACTTTTACCTCCATTAAAATGATAAATTTCTCTAAAATATTTTCTCTGGAGAGATTAAAAAGTATAATCTGAAAAAGTAATTAGCTATCAGACAAATGTAGTGCAGTAAAAAATGAAATGTTTTTCTCTGAGATGTAGTGTAGTAGAAGTAGAAATTATATATGACAATACATTTTGAATTTACTGTCATTTTATCAACATGTATCAAATGGAGTGTGGCCCCCCCTGGTCGAGGCTGTTGCAACGCAAATATTATAGTTTCTTAAACTAAATTATTATTCTATGTAAATGTTATATACACAAATCTACGTTACCTGAAAACTACATTTTTATAATGAGTTTATTTAATTTATGAAAGCCCTGTAGTTAATGCAAAATAACTGTGCAACAAAAGTGTTTAGTATAATTGAAAATAAAAAACGTAGGTATATTTATTTCATTTTATTTTCTGTTTACTTTATTTTTGTATTTAAATGCCTCGTCTTTTTTCTGATTAGTTTATTTCTCTCATTTGTATTGATCTTATGAGTTTATTGTGTAATACCTGTAAGCAATGCTGTTATGCACATGTGCATTTTTCAAAAGAAATATCAAAAACGTCCCAAAGATCTGAGAGTAAAATACTAATATAAATGGAACATGGGTAAATTGACTTCCTTCCCTTCTACACAACATTTACCCAATCCCACACACATGTATACACTTGACTGAAAAATACAAGCAGGAGCAATATAACTTGTACTTCTTTTATTTTTACCCTGTAAAAAAAGTCAGTTTGGTGGAGAGCTGGACCTCAGTCACTCTAACACTGTGTGGCATTGTGAGGTTCTTCATTTTGTTCAAACATTTCCAGAATTACATTTCTATTCTATCATTGTGAATATATTACCTGTATCGATAAATAACATCAGGTTCATTTACAGCTGGTACATGACAAAAGCAAATAATAATACTTCAAAATCCAATAAATAAAATAACAACAAAGTCAATACTTTGAATTGTACAGTTACAATTTGTGTTTTCATTGCTACAGCTAAAAATTGTCTTAACAATACATTTATTTAGGAAAAGTTAGCTCCTGATTCAAGTGAGTAATTGCAATATTGTTGGACACAGGGAGAAATGTTATTTAAAATGTGTTGGCAATTGGCAATGGCTCTAAAACGTCACATTTGAGCCCATTTCCACAAGACAATGTCATGTCTCAGCAGGTATGATTCATCTGACAAAACTATTTTTTTGTATTCTTCTCATGATGACAAAGATATTTTTATTATTTCCCCCATGTAGAGCAAGCATTTCACACATGCTTGGAGAATGTCTTAATTAGGCTAATTCCCTGTCCTGATAAAAAGTCAATCAATTCATTAAATGATCTGTGAGATTATCTTAATATAAAATGTTCATAGTTGTTTGTTTTCATGTGTAAACAAAATATGAATGTTCTAAAACCAAATCCTACAAAACACCCGTCCTTAAGTTGTATACAGCACTGTATACAACTCTGTCTCCACAGTCGATGAGTTGACATCTAACATCTCTTCAAACTCTTACATTAATAAAGTCTCATGTCACAGTGAAATCCCCCACCCCTGCACGGTGCTAAACACAGAGTACACAAAGACAACTCTTGCCCCAATGAAGCATCTACATATATATATATATATATATATATATATATATATATCATCTAACGCACTAACATAAGGAAGCAGATTTATCTAGTGCACATCATCATTTCACTATTGCATAACCGAGCAGATTCTATAATATAACAACTCTATATTCTACTTAATAATATAGTTTGGTCATTCACTGATAAAAACATGATGTAGATTGTGGAGCTAAAATACAGTCACTGTGAATCAAACATTTCATAAAAACGTTATCCCTTAAAAATATGTATTCCCTTTAACACAACATTATAAAAGTACTGGGATGGGATTAAAACTTCATTTGAACAGCACGTGTCGGACAGGCTGGAACTGTTCTTCATCATGGTACAGTAACATCTTCAAACAAATAACCCTGATTCAGTAAATATGTTGCCATATGTTTTCACATTGGAACCCAGTATCAGCTGTATTAGGATAGGGTCTTCTTGATGAATGTATACAGATTTACAGTGAACAGGTTACTGTAGTGCCTGTAGACAGCAGATTATAACCTGGGTTCCACAGGTGCATTGAATATATAACACATGCTACATGTCACAGCCGAGGACTGTTTGTAGAAAATTACTTCATAATTCAGTCATTCTTGAGTCACTAACAGCAGGCATTTCTAGACTATTTTGATTTAAAAAATACTTAAATAAGATACAATAAATTCAAAAGAAGTTGTTCCTTCAGAAAGCACAAAACTTAACAAGTTTGAGGTTAGCTCGGAGTCGTATGTAGGGACAAAATCTAGCACCAAACTTTGGTCAGGAGGCAGCAGATTAGACTCCTGCTGTCTGGTTGTCATTGAAAAGGGGTTTGAAGAGACACAATTCTCTTTTTTCACGAGTGTAAAAGAGTCAGGACCTCAGCGTTTCTTTGGTCTGGGTCCTGGCAGATATGTCCAGGCTTCCTGCTTCATCCATGGCAGAGACCAGGTTAGGGTCTCTTGGCTGAAGCCTTGGCCGGTGACTTGGCTGATGCTTTGGAGGGGCTGCTCTCACAGGGGGTCACCTTCAGATGGACGAAGAGGGAGGAGGGCGAGAGGCTGGAACCGTCCACTTTGCGCAGCCTGACGTGACGATACCCTGTAGAGAGAAAGGAGAGGAGGTCAGGAGCAGGGAGGGAAGGAGTGCTTATTTACTTAGCAATACTAAAGTGGAAAAGCTACAAGTAAAAGTCTTTAAGTACCAAAAGCAAAAGTACTCGTCATGCAGAAAGGCACATATAAACATCAGATATTTGTTTTAATGATTTTATTATAATTATCGATGTATTAATTTGTTCATAACTTCAACAATATCTGGTTCTCTTGTTCTTTTTAATATTGCTCCACGCTACCTCTTTGTAGATCAGCACAGCTCTCCACTTTAAATATACAGTAGTATATACACTGAACAAAAATATAAACGCAACACTTTTGTTCAAAGATCTAAAACATTTTCTATATACACAAAATAACCATTTCTCTCAAATATTGTTCACAAATCTGAAAAAATCTGTGATAGTGAGCACTTCTCCTTTGGCGAGATAATCCATCCCACCTCACAGGTGTGGCATATCAAGATGCTGATTAGACAGCATGATTATTGCACAGGTGTGCCTTAGGCTGGCCACAATAAAAGGCCACTCTGAAACGTGCATTTTTGCTTTATTGGGGGGGTCTGAAAAACCAGTCAGTATCTGGTGTGAGGGGTAGGGGTAGGGTTAGGGTAATGTTGTGAATTGAGTGGCCCATGGTGGTGGTGGGGTTATGGTATGGGCAGGCTTACAGATGGAGCGCTCCATTTCAGACGCCTACCCGTGCGGGTCCGTGATCGGCACGGGGTGGGCCCCTGCTGAAAAGGAAAACCCCCCGCAGGACTTGAAACGCCCCCTTGATAAATACATTTAATTATAATGAAACCAGCTGCAATGGATAATGGATCCACCAGGGGGAGCCGTGATTAAAAAGCTGCCACACTGGAACTCATGTGAAATAAACAGCTGATCTACAGGTATCTGATATAGCGGATATTTGTTAAGATCCATATGTCACGGATAGGATCATATTCTGTGCTAAATAAGAGACATGTAATCATTTACTAAACATCCCCATGTTTTTATTTAACAAAATAATGTTTAATTCACGTTGGCGTAAGTACAAAACCATCGCTATGTTTTTAGATCAGGAAATGCATCCAGGCTCAAACAAACGATTTTCAATCATCATCCTCACGATCATTTAATGTAGTCTATCATATGTTCGCGAGTTGAAATTAATGCACTAAATTTAATCCACGTGAGTTTACAACAACAAAAATAATCGCTTTGTTTTTATATCACATCCGACCGGAGGAAAATGCAGCACGGGTCTCACTACCGATCATCCTAATCCCACGGGCAAACAATAATATGTACAGTGTTAATAGTTTACTGTATTATTAGTGTCTAATATTACTGGGGATTTCGGAATGGTACTGGATTTTGATTTATTGTATCGGCTTCATATCGCAATATATTCCCGAAGTCTGAAATGCAAAAATGTCCCACATTAGGGCAATTCACCCTACATTTAATCATTCATACAAAATCATATTTAGTTTCTTTTTAACGAAATAAATGTGTTTTAATCCACATAATTTACTGTGTTAATTGTTTACTGTAGTATTGTACACATTACTTTTCGCTGCTTGTTGCACCTGGTTAGAAGCTAAACTGCATTTCGTTGTCTCAGTACCTGCAATATGTGCAATAACAATAAAGTTGAATCTAATCTTGAGCAGGAACAAATGTATTTAGGCTACTTAGTACATATCTGACATAAACGATTAAACACATTTGTGCATTCTTTAAACCGAGTCAAGCCGAGTCCGGAGGTGGCGGCACATTAAAGTGTGCACCTGATTGTTTAACTTGAAGGTGCCTAATGACATTTAATCATTCAAACTAAATCATATTTCGTTTATTTTTAACGAAATAAATGTGGTTTAATCCACATAATTTAGGCCTACTGTGTTAATTGTTTAGTATTGTTTAACTTGAAGGTGCCTGATGTGAACATTTCCAGAAGAACTCTAGCTTGAATGGCCTTTGTAGTATACAGTAGGCCTAACATAGGCGGCGCGTGAGGCTCAGGTTTGGGAAGGCTAAATCACTTTTTTTTTCATTTTACGCTGCCCGCCTCCGGCGTCTATAGAAAAGAGATCAACTCAGTGAAAGCACCACCTGCTGACCGATCAGAGCTCAGTGTGCGGAGTTTAAATCTATCAAGTCATATTACAGGAAAAAGGAAATGCAGTTTAAACTGCCGTATGCAGAGAAGATGCCGACGTGTCGCACTTATCATTCATATCACACTGACATCACATCATCAATCAGATCATCGATCTCACATCGATATCACAATATGTCCTTATCTGAGTCAGCTTCTCGAGCCGTATCTGGCCGTGCAACACTTAGTTACATTGTCACATATACTGTATGCAGACGTATTATTTTAAGCAACACATTAAGTTGACGAAACACTCAACTCAAATGTAATAAAGTCAGATCCCCTCGTGTTTTAGATGGGGCAGTATCATAAAACTGTTGTACGCTTTCAAACACTCGGTAGTTTATTTTTTAACGAGTTGTTCTGTATTCTCCTTGCAGGTGCAACTATGTGGCTTGTATCCTGGATTATATGTTTAAGTCATCATGGATGTTTAAAGTTCATATTTGTCTAATATTAGTTTACTTTTCATTAATGAAGTATGATGTTGCGCTGTCAGTACACTTGTCCCTGTTTGTGATTGGTCAAATGTAGCTAACCCCGCCCCTTTCACGTGAACGCGCTCTCAGCTGGAGAGAGAAACCCTGGCTTGATTTACGGAGTTAATAACCAGCGCCGTAGGACCGTTTAGCGAGATCGCGTTTGTTAGGGTTAGTTAAGATAACTCAAGCATATCCAGGGTCTGTTGAACTGGCTTCGTGGTACAGGGCACAGGTGGCTGCATAGCAGCGCTAATGTCAAAGACATTATATTTTTATTTTACCAGGATGCACTTACACAAATATTTGGGAGCCTAGCCTACAGCACTCGCCGCCCCTGGGCCTACAGTATAGCCCAACCATGTACACCTTCCTTTTTTCCCGTCCAAAGTTTGAATTGGATAAAGGTAATGGTTATCAATGGTGCTTTTATAGCCTATTGTACAATAACTGTGTGATTTATATTGCTTTTCAAATGCATATGGCCAATTTACACTGCTCTTCCCGTCAAGAATATGAATAGAACTTAGTTAGATCACTTTACATTTCTGCAAATTAATTTTTAATCACACACATCTCCCCGTCCCGAAAATGATAAATAAAATAAAAAGAGGAAACCATTTTCAAGTTCAGTTTTCAACGTTTTATTTAAAATAACTGACATAACAGACACCATACTGTAGGCCTATCTGCTGCGGAAACCAGGACGAGTTATTTCGGGATCTGTTTTTCGGGGGCTCCTCAGTCTCTCATTTACCCGGCTCCTGATTAGGACACATCCTGGGGATTGTGTTTACAAACATTGACCAGACCGTTCACCAGCCCCCACCCCCCATGTTGCCTATGCTGTCCTGTGTTGCGAACTCTTTTTTAAAAACGAATTGGCCATCGGAATGTGTGGAGGAATTCTCCCAAGGGTCACATTCCACAGCTCTCTTCCAAAAAGCACTCGTTTGCTTGGAACAAAGAAAACGGCCAAGACACACATTGAGTCCAGAAAATGAATGTTATTAAGGGCTGTAAATATAATAAGCCTGTGTCTAAAATTGACAACAGGCTTATTATATTTACAGCCCTTAAGATACACTTTTGTGTTTAACAGCTGACCACTACCATGACATACTTTGTTTTAGTAGATTTCGCATGAGAGCAAAATGTATAAATATGAGCATTACATTATATGAATATGAGAACAACATGCATGAATGTGTGAGTGACAATATATGAATGTGTGCATTGAAATATGATAATATGAGAGCAAAATGTATGAATGTGTGAGTGTAAATATATACGTGTGTGAGAGTGAAAATGTATGTATGTAAAAGGAGAATATATGTGTGTAAGAGTGAAGATGTATGTATGTAAAAGGAGAATATATGTGTGTAAGAGTGAAAATATGCTGCATTTTGAATGTCCGATAGTCCACCATTTCCACCGGAAATATCAAACATTTAATAAAAGTGAAAAACAATGAACAAGACTTAACGTATTCATCATAATTAATAATATTTATTTCGTTTGGATGTAGGATTTTTGACTTTGTTTAGAGCAGTGATCTTCTACTATATGAACATTTTGGACCCAAAATCACAAAAAAAAACGTAAAAACAGATTTTGAAAATGATATTATTTTTCATATGTAACACAAACATACACAACGAAACCATTTAAAAGCTGGAAATATATACATGGGATGTCACTATGATAATGTGAAAGTTTGATTGAGGTAGCATGGGATTTCATTCTGATAAGGCAAAAGTGTTATTATAAATATAATACAAATATATATATACACATTATGTACAAAAATCAGTTTTTTCTGTCTTTATCTGTGCCACGCTTCAAAGCGGTTTCTGTCAATACGACACAGAGGGCAACATCACAGGTTCCTCCTCCTCCATGTCAAAAAACAAGCTTAAAGCTTGACTCACGTTCAGAGTTCTCTTCATCATAGTTGAATCTTCAAAACTCTAAATCTATCTAACTATATCTAAATTCTCAATGTTTGTCTGTCACTTTACTTCAATCGCAGTCTCCCGCCGTCCCTCTTCGTCTCTTTTTGTCTCGTTTCGTATCACTCCGTTTACCTGATTACCTCACCCCCTCCCTGTTAAACACATCCTGTTGAGCAGAATCTACAGTTTCCAGTATTTTCCGTTTCGTAAAATGATCAAATACGGCGAAGATATTAAAATATGTGCTTCCATTATTCATACTTCTGAAATATATCTGTATTAACTTTATATCATCGTATGTCCGTGTTTACTGGGTCTTTTTGCATGAAACAAAGACTGGCATATAGTTTCAAGCCAGTACTTTCGACAGAAATACACATATACATCCTGTTGAGCAGAAT